GATTATGTCTTAATATTGGTCACACCTTTTCTCATTCATCAAACATTTACACGTATTTTTACAAGTGGTTAGAGCTTCTCTTCTGTTCCCAAGAGATCTTGAGATCGATTCTCATTACCTGTTCCTGTGGCTCTCTAAACACCAAAAAACAATATCACACCTTGTTCTACATGAACTTTTAGTAAAGATTGATTCTAGTGGTATCACATTTATATCTCATAATTTGGGGCAATAATATCGAGTCTAGTATATCACTATAATATTCTCATAATAATATTATATCAAATTATCAATGTACTTTTATATCTCAATAATAATATCCCTTTTAAATTAAATCAAATTAATATAATTGGCCAATGATTGAAAGGTGGTGATATTATTGATGAAAATGAAAATGAAAAGATTGAGGATTATTGTCACGATACTCAAAAATCAAAAAGACTGTATCTAAGCTGATAGATCTATGTTTGTCATCTTGTTTGAACCGCGTATAAAGCTTGTGCAAATTAAAAAATGTGTCAATGCGGATCTTCAGGTCTAATAAAAAAAAAAAGATTTTATAGATGCATTATGTAATAATAGTTTGATATATAATCCAAAATTAATGATTATATATTTAGACAGGTCTCAGCTCGATAAGGTTATATATACTCACACGATCTTACCAGAGGTTGAAGAGAGTTTGTGAAAAATTTCGTTCATTGATCTTAGCTTAATTAAATCCACATATTAGTCATATCTTTTTCATCAACGTGGGACAATTAGATAAACTATTGATTGATTAATAAAAATCTAGGTTTAGATATCGTTATTACTTAATAAATTAATAAATCATATGGTTTTACATTTAAGTTTTGTGTTTTTTTTTTCCTTGAAAATGATTGCGCAAAGCATGTGATTTTCGAGTCAAAATTCGATTGTCACTGTATATAAAATAGAGTGCCATCATTGATTAAATCATATAGCCCTTAGCTTCCTTTGTATGGATGCAAAGAACATTGCAAAGTTTCAAACTATATTTCTCTTCTTTATATGGATGTAGACATGCATAATTTCATTAAACGAGTTAATCTTCTTTATGAAAGGCATATCTACTTTATAATAAACATGATTATTAGCTAATTGCAAAAAGTTGACAAGTGCATGTAGAAAAGCAAATTACTAATTCCTTCCTTGGCCAAGAACTTCCCTACTCCCCCCCCCCAAAAAAAAAACCCTACAATTCCAGCCTCATTACCAATTGCTTTTCAATTTTTAGGGCATTTCTCACTTTGCCTTTTTATTTATAATCTCTTTTAAGAATTACGGAACATCATATTATATTGTGAAATTATGTCGATGACATTGAGACAAATCTAAGTTTATAACCATTATAACATCGTATATATCAAATTGTTGATAAAATTGATAAGAAAAGTTTTTTTTTTTTTTTTTTTTTTTTTTATCGCACAATTTATCAAGAAATCAACCAACCTGATAAAAAAAATAAATAAATAAATTGATTGGACAGTCTCAATGCTAGTAGATTTTTTTTTGCTTATATAAATAGCCGGATCTTATATATAGATGGATGCATAAAAATTAAATTCCACAATGTATTATCCCTCTATTATTTATTTCTAACTTTAATTGGTTTGGTTCCACTTTTTTTGCGAGCAACTACCTAATAAAAAAATTGTTGTAAGAAACTACCTTATAAAAGGGTAAAATGTTGTAAGACACTACCCTTGGTCGAAAAGTCATTGTTGACTTTTATTTTCCGGCATTGACTACGTCAATTGCCAATTAAGAAAAAAGGAGGGAAAGGGTAAATTAAAAGTCACGCGAATGACACGTGATGTGGCCAACGCCGAAAAATGAAAGTCAACATTGACTTTCCGACCAATAGTAGTTTTTTACAATATTTACCCCTTTATAAGATAGTTTCTTACAACAATTTTTTTATTAGGTAGTTTCTCGCAAAAAAAAGTGTTTTATAAGGTAGTTTTTCATAAAATGTTTTTTTTTTTTTTTTTTTTTTTTTTTGGTTAAAAAAAATTTATACGGATTGAAGTATTCAAATTATGTGCAATGCTCCACCCTGGCTTGTATATGTATGTATTTGGTGTGTACATAATCACTCTCCAATGAGTCTAATCTAGTCCACTTTTGGTATCTATCTTTTAGCTTTTACTATACGGCTATACGGCTATACCTCTTTTGTCTAGTATAGTACAAAATCTTAAGTTAAAGCTATTGATAAAGAACTTCATCAACATTTGTAATGATAAATATTCCAAAAATTTATGGTAGATGATGAATAAATAAGCTAAATAAAAGTAACGTAGTTATACTATACCAAAACGTAAAGTTATAATATCATCGACGTATACAAGTACCCAAAAGTACGTGTTATGTGTTGAACCTATGTATGTACGTATTTATAACATATTTGCATCCGTTATAGACTTATAGGTCGGATCTATATGTAAAGTTGTAATATCATGGACGTATACAACTATACAAGTACCCATAATGTTGAACCTATGTATGTATCATATCGTACTCATAACATATTTGCATGCGAATGTAGCAGTACTGTGTTGATGTGTGCAAGGTTATGCCAAAAAGATAAGCTAGCTTGTACAAACCAATAAAATTGGAAGAGAATGTACATCCATTATATTCAATTAATAAATAATTAACCAGAAAACAAATTAAAGCATTTATGATGAAAAAAAGTTGGAAAGAAAACAAAATTAAACCATCACATGCATAAATTCAAGATTTCTAGATGATGAAGGAACCCAAAAAAGTTTGTTTAGCTAAATTTAGGTCACGTTGGTTGGCAAGAATGCAAGACTAACATAGCTCAGTCGTTGATTATCTAAATAAAGGAAGGTATATATGCTGTGACTTTTAATTTAACTAATATTATCTTTCTATTGATAGTACATGCAGTAACGAACGTACTTAATTAATGGTAGGTTGTGAGCATATTATTAATTTGCACATCAAATTCGAATATTTAACATAGAAATTATTCATGATTATTACGTACGTGAGAATATTGAAAGAACCTAATGCTTAAGATAAGCTTATTTAGGAGATGTTTAATAATTTTTTAGAAGATAAAATTCATTTATCTCTAAAAAGTTGAATCTAAGCTAACAAATATGAAGTCAACATGCATGTTGAAACAACCAACAATTTAATTTATTAACTGATCATTATTAAGTAGATCTTGCACTACAAGGTATCTTCAGTCGTACAATTTATTTGATGATACAGTTTTAGTTTATAATAAAGAGGAATAAGAAGAAGAGGCAAGAATTAATCATGATTAATTTACTCTGAAAGAAAGCATGGAATTTTGTTACTTTTTTGACTTGACAAGAACTTGACGATATTAAGAAAAAGAAGAAAGTAAATTGCATTATCCCCGAAAGTAGATCAATTAACGCACAATTTGTGTATGCGATTAATTTGATGTTTAGAAATTAAAGCATATCTCTCTCCTCTTTCTCTTGGTATGAAAAATTTGGCTTTCTTTGAGTCTCCAACTTTTGATATGGGGCTCAAATAGCTCGAGACATTCCTGTCGAATCATGATACTATAGAGTTGTACAATGTTGCATATATGGCATGAAGATCAAGTAAGAACTAACGAATTATATCACTATTTTTTTTATTTACTTATATAGTTAGCCTAGTGATTAAAACTGAATGCGCGCATGTGAAACAGGTCACAATTCCAATTCTCAAAAATGGGTGAAACGATTTACTATTAAATATTTAGGTGTATTATGATCAATATATATAGAACCGCGAATAATTTCCACATTTTCCATCTAGCAATGGTGTAGATCTAAATTTGCACTCCAAGTGGTATATGTGACAAATCAAATTAAAATAAGTCACAATTTTATTTAGTGGATGTGAATATATATATAATTGCAACAAATAAATTAAAGAAACAAGGATGGAGTGCAATACTTGATTGTACTGTGTTAGTATTAGAAGTTTAGAACCACCAATTAACAAATTCTACATTGCATCCTTAGCATGATAGAAAAGCCTAATTATAAAAGGTTTATGACCTTATTCTCATACGAGAGGATATTACAACTGGGCATGCCTGGAATTCCAGAAATAATGAAGGGGGTAACATCTAACGGGGTAGATTCTACTTGAGCATTGATTTAGAGAGTAATAATTCATTTTTTGAGGTTTGGCAACAATCCTAGGGTAAAGACCACCAATTCATGGCAATCGGCGGCAACCACCATGTCGTTGATAAACTTGAGACCACCACGAGCATCATCTCACATTCTCACTTGAAGGATCAAAAGCCCTAGCCATTTGTTCAACTATCTCTTCAACCAGTGGGTCCGATTCAAGATACTTGTTCGTAATTCGCCGGAATTGATGAGCTATGGCGGCTAGCAGCTTCCACTAGGCGGCTATAATGGCGGCAACAGCTTCAATTGGGTGGAGGGATATGAAGGTGAAGGAGAGAGTACATAGCAGGGGAAAAGAAGAGCAATTGTTACGGGGGAAATTGTTATGCTAGGGGGGAGGTGGGTAATTATTAACCCCATTTTTAGGAAAATAGATTACCCCACTGATTAATTACCCTAGATCCAAACTTTAAAAAAATCCAGAATTATTACTCATGTAATTTTTCCCCTCCCATTACACCCATTCCAGGCAGCCCCTAAGAGTAATTTATGTTACGTTTCTAATTTAATTAATTTCTCATTAAAATAGTTCCTCACAAGAATTCATTGAAAAAACTTGAAAAAAAGGGATAACACTAAAACACCTGATTGATTCGAATCTCATAAATAAATAAATACATTATATAATTAATGAATTCACAATAAGAAAGATATGTTATTTTTTTCATATTCTTTTTACAAGTGCCTCTTAGACCTTTTACAAGTTGACAAATTAGAGCATAATATCTTTTCTTGTTTTTTTTTTATATTATTTTAAGTAGTATAATATAATTACTTATATAAAAAAAATATCAAAAAACATAAAGAATTACATAATAATTAATAATTAATAAAGAGAATGGTTTTCCTTCTTTTGTAATAGGAGAGAGAAAAAATGATGCAATGTAACAAAAATGATTCCAATCTTGTTGTTGGCCTATTGTTCGTCACTTCCCCCTTATTTCTCGCTTTGCTTAAACCCACATAGAAAGCACTACAAACAACTTTTATTTGGGCCACATGCCAAAGATTTTTACTTAGTTTCTTCCTAGCTTACTCACTAGTTTCTTCCTTCACTTTTGTTTCAATTCCTTTAAAGTATCTTCACTAACCACTCATGTCATATCACTCTCATCTCACTATCATACCTATATATTGATACTTGTATATATAGATGTGTTTTACAAGCACTAGAAAATATATACAAACTCATTCATAAATTGATTAGTTGATCATATCAATTCAACTATTTTTAATAATACTATTGAAATGGAACTTAGTAAACCAATTCTTGTTGTGTTTTTCATACAAGCCCTATATACCGGTATGTTCTTGCTCTCTAAGGCTGCATTCAACGTCGGCATGAACAATTTCATATTCACCTTCTATAGACAGGCCATTGCAACCATCTTTCTAGGTCCTGTAGCCCTCTTTCTCGAAAGGTATGTTACTTATTAAGTTTACATAATACGTTTATTGCTTGGACTGGTGGGAAGATTTACACGTACCTAGGTTCAAAAGCTCAAATCCTACCACTAAGATTCTTAGGAGTCAAAATATATCCTTTATGTATATCGTGCACAACTGTTCCATATTCAACCTATCATGAAATTGTTTTTTGTTTCAATTTTTGAAACATGAATTATATACCGTCATTGATGACTTAATTATTATCTATTATTTTTTTTTCTAATGTAGGAAAAATATACCCCCGCTCTCATTCAAGAAATTTTGGCAAATATTCGCAATGTCTTTATTTGGGTAAGTTTGAAATTAACATGCTACATATATGCTACATATATATATGTGATTTGAATACGTCCCGTATCATACATGTGGTAAATAAAACTTGGTATAATGTTGCAGGATAACATTGAGTTTGGATTTGTATGGCATTGGGCTGACCTATACTTCAGCGACCATGGGTGCTGCTACAACCAATTGTCTTCCTGTCATTACTTTCTTCCTTGCTGTTCTTGTTAGGTACGTACGTAACTAAATTATACTGTATCATGTCCTTAATTAGTACTTTTTTTTCTTGAATGACTTCCATCTAAATATAGCACATCTATAGTCATGCTTAGGCATAATACACTTGTACTATAATATCGTATTTTCAAAACTAGACGTAACATATCAAACATACCGTACCCTACTTAAATATAGTGGTGGGAGAGTACGTGGTAGTAAGCGGACATCCTTAATTACATCATATTAGCGTCATAATTTGTTTGAATATAGTGTTTTCTGAATAACTATCAATGTCTCATCAACTTTTTATAGATCAGAGTTAAATTGACAGTTGTCATACGAGTTTGGGTTTTGAATTGAATTCATTCTCTCTTATTAACAAATGTGACCTAGATCTGTATATGATCATAACACAATCATTTAAGTTTCACAGTCACACAACATTAACCACAACTAGCCAATAATTATTCAAGGAACCTAGCATTATTTAAGTGTAAGTAACAGAAGATCCTAATAATTGCTTTATAAATTGACAAAAACCCAATCAGAGTAATGGGTAATTTTGTTTTCTTATCTATTTTGTACTCATTTTTTTTTGTAATTTAACTTTAGGAAAATGGATTTGGAGGAAGATTTAATTGAGCACCACCAAATTATATTGATTGGACTTGTTGTCTGTACGATTTTTTGGATTGGCAAATGGGATATGGCCATTCATCGCAGGTGCTCTAAAATAACGTATTGATACCCAAAGAAAATTAAAATAAGTTAAAAAAAGAAATAAATTAAAATATAAAATAATATAAAAAAAATATTTTAAAAATGGTGGAAGTCATTTTAGTGCTCTACTATTCATCTCAATTTGATCCCACTACTAGTATTATAAATTTATAACTCCCCACGGGTCACGGGAGATATGTCTCTTCATTTAAGTTAATTTAGCGTTATTACTCCATTCGTTTTAAATTCTTCACTGTTTTTTAGCTTCACAACTTTCACTTAATGCTTCTTCTACAAAATTTACATAATCATTTAATACAACTCTTTAAAAAATAACAAATAAAAAAAAAGAGTATAAGACAGATAAAAAAATAAGAGCAAGAGAATACTTCCGTACAAAATATCCCATTAATTTTTGACTTTGGGGACTTGGGGGTTGAGGTGGATGGACTATAGATTAAAGATTTCTTACAAAGTGATCTGAATTATGATGATTTATTATCCAATCACGCATTGATCAATTCATGATCACATTGTACAAAGATGTGATACCATTCATAAGTGTGGTTAGTGGTGTATAGCAATTTTCTAAATTAAATTAATTAATGATCGAGTTTGTCAATAGAGATTCCATGCAATATATACACGTACGGAAAGCTAATAAAACATTTGTTACTTGACTCCTATAAATTAATTACAATTAGACATTTAGACGGCTAACTAAGCAAAGTAAAAGGGATATATCTAGACATCTAGTCATTAATTAGTTAATAATTACTAATTTACTATTTGTACGTATGTGATTTGTTGTTAGCCAATTAGTACAACTACTCTTATAGAAATTGGGGTGTGAACAAGCTCGGTCAAATTGCATATCTTTACATGAAACAAAGGTTTTATACTCATGAGATTTTGTTCATAGTTGTGTATTTTTTTTTCTTTCTATTGACAATTATTAAACATAAATTCATTTAAATGGATGCATGTAGAATCCATTTTCTTTTTTTCTTTTTTTCTTTTGAGACAAATCCATTTTCGAGGCAAATTCATTTTCAAAGCTCGTTTATTATTTAATCCAATTCAGCTAAGCTTATTATTTAAGCTTAAGATTAAAACTCAAAACTCAAAATACATACAAATGATCATGTTTATGATCATCATGTTCAAAAAAAACCTAAGCTATTGACGAGCTAAGCTCGTACATAACACTAATAATCTCTATCAAAGTTAAGTTAAATAGACTAATTAAAACTCGTCTATCCTTAACTCGTTTGCAAAACTAATTTTAAAAAAAGGGGTAAACAGTGAACAGCTCACTATAGAACAAACTAGCTTAGAAGGAAAGACAATTAGGTAAATCCAATTGGTTTTGTTTTGTACTGTGCATTCCACATCCTTTTAGCAATCTGTTTTCACTAGTGATTATATTAGTTGAGTTTCCTGTTTAGGATAAGACCTTGATGTCTCACACACTTACTCAAGTAATTAACCTTAAACTGATTTAACAACACTTAATGATTAATAATGATAATTTAGATAATATTGATGCTTAAATTAGTCTAGTAGTTAATGGAGGTCAAGATCCGCAAAAGTCTAGTAGTCTAAATTCCACATAATAAAATTGTAAACATAAAAATTAATATAATAAGGTCGCATATCAATCGAAGATGGTGCAAATGATGCTTAATATCTACGTATTCCTAACTTTATGCTACATTTTAATTTAAATTAAAACTTCTTTTTGTACAGTTTAGTAGTACGTTCATAAAGGTTAATTAATAAGGAGAATAATAGGAATCTCTTAGCTTTTGCAAAAGATTAGGTTATTAAAATGATTCATTTGGGTGCAATTTATAATGTCTGTAATCATATCATGGGACAGCCATATATGTATATATCTTACAATGAGGAGTGAGTACTTATGTCTGGTCGTTATCTTTAATAATGGTATCATTGTATTTATGAACATTTGTTAAACTAACTCATCCTCGATCTTTAAGAAATTACTATAATAAGTAAATAAGTAAATATAAATAAGTAAATAAATAAATAAATAATCTTATATATTTAAACAATTGATATGGACACGTTAAAAAGACTATTGCTAACGTGTTATATAACGGTTTTTCTAACGAGTGACTAATCCGGTTGTGTTTCAGATTAGAGGTATGGAAAATAAAGACAGCCCCGGGGATAGCAAAGCTAATTGGCGTAGTGATATGCTTGGGAGGTGCCATGACTCTAGCACTTTATAAGGGTCCTTCCATTAAACTATTTAGCCATCCTCACTTGCTGGCTGGTCACCCAGCAGCCAACCAGCCGCCACAGACTCAAACCCATTCCGGCCCTACTTGGATTAAGGGTGTTTTTATCTTGCTGACCGGTGTTGTGCGACAGCGGAAGCAAAGGTCGTAAACAAACAAGAAAACAATAAAGAAATTCAATGCAAACAATAAGAACAACACCAAGAATTTACGTGGTTCACTATCGATGTGATAGCTACGTCCACGGGCACCGAGATCGAATGATTTCACTATAAACTGCAAAGATTACAAAGATGATTCTTGTATTTCTCAAGAACGGCTCTCACTCTGTCTCTCTTCACCCTAATACTGATATTAGGGAGGTTTTATATTAATCCCTAATTAAAAGATACTTGGGCAAAAAGATAATAAAATAAGATAACCTAAAACCGCAAAATCCGCGTTCCGTATTTTTCCTTCTCCGCCCGGTCAGACCGGGCAAGGTCTGCCCGATCGGGCGCGAGAAGAAGACTCCATACGAATGCTTCAACGTATCCAACCCCCACCGCCCGGTCAGACCGGGCAAGGTCTGCCCGATCGGGCGAAGGCTCGCCCGGTCGGGCGAAGGCTCGCCCGGTCGGGCGCGAGAGCAGCTTCTTCAACGAATTTGCCAGGCACCTCTTCTTCTTCCGCCCGGTCAGACCGGGCAATGTCCGCCCGATCGGGCGGACAAAGCTACGAAGTACGAGTCACCTAATATACTTATCAACAATCTCCACCTTGACGAGAACTCGTAGTCAGCAAACGACCCCATCAAGACATAGTGAAAAAACATCTCAAGCCAAACCCGATGCAGGACTCATGCATAAGCCATACATCCCGATAAGTCTTCAACCAAGACCCATCACATACTCGTCTCCAAGTATAACAACTCATAATGCTCCACCTGCATCACAAGCCCCGGGCAAGCTCCACCTTAATGCCAACACACCTACACCAGGAGCTCCCCAACTTCGCCCCTCAGGGCCTACTACATCACGTAGTAATCAATATTTAGCAAGTCTAAGCAATGTTTAAACTTGCTAAACGGAACAGGCTTAGTGAAGAAATCAGCCGGGTTGTCAGCAGTCCCAATCTTCTTCACCTTAATCCTCTTGTCAGTACGTAAGAAATGATACCTGACATCAATGTGCTTCGTCCGATCATGGTGTACTTGATCTTTAGCTAAGCAAATCGCACTTAGACTATCACAATACACTGTAGCAAAATCCTGTGCAATACCCAGTTCACCTACTAGGCCTTTGAGCCGAATAGACTCCTTAGCTGCAGAAGTTAGAGCCATATACTCAGCTTCAGTAGTTGACAACGTAACTGATGACTGCAATGTAGACTTCCAACTAACCACAGAACCACCCAAAGTGAACACATAACCAGTCACAGACCTCCTGGTATCCACATCAGCTGCATAATCAGAATCACTGTACCCAGTGACCAAGCATTCCTTACCATTCCCGTACACAAGACCAATATCAGCTGTCCCTCTCAGGTAGCGAAAAATCCTTTTCACCCCTTGCCAGTGTTCCCTCCCAGGTCGAGCCATAAACCTGCTTACAACACTAACAGCATGCGCAATATCCGGCCTAGTACAGACCATAGCATACATCAAACAACCAACCGCGTTTGCATATGGAACTCTAGACATATAAGACAACTCCTCCTCTGATTGAGGTGACATAGACAAAGACAACTTACAACTAACAGTAGTTGGCGTACTTATAGGCTTCGATTTTTCCATCCCAAAACGAGACAAAATCTTTTCAATGTAGCTTTTCTGAGTCAAGAAAAGCTTACCTCTAGCCCGATCCCTGTAGATCTCCATACCCAAAATCTTCCTAGCTGCACCCAAGTCTTTCATGTCAAACTCCGAGTTAAGCATCTCCTTTAATCTAGCAATATCAGATTTATTCTTTGTGGCAACCAACATGTCATCAACATATAACAAAAGATAAATCATGGAACCATTATCCAGCTTACTATGATACACACAGCAATCATATGAATTCCTGTCAAAACCTTGTGAAACCATAAAAGAATCAAACCTTTTGTACCACTGTCGGGGGGATTGCTTAAGTCCATACAATGACTTTAGCAATCTGCAGGCATAGTGTTCCTTTCCAGGAGCTTCGAATCCTTCGGGCTGCTTCATCAGAATCTCCTCCTCCAAATCGCCATGAAGGAAGGCCGTTTTAACATCCAACTGCTCCAGCTCAAGATCAAAATGTGCTACAATTGACAATAACACACGGATAGAAGTATGTCGAACCACAGGTGAGAATATCTCAACAAAGTCAACCCCTTCTACCTGACTGAACCCCTTAGCAACTAGCCTAGCCTTAAAACGTATTTGCTCAGTTTCCGACAACCCTTCTTTCTTCTTGTAAATCCATTTACAACCCACAAGCTTCCTCCCTTCCGGTACCTTTACCAGTTCCCACACTCTGTTCTTGTAAAGGGACTGCATCTCTTCACCCATTGCGGCAAGCCATTGCGCAGACTCACTACAACTAATTGCTTGTTTATATGTGGCAGGTTCAAATGACTCTACATCATCAGCTACACTCAATGCATAACCTGTCATCGCATCAACACAGCAATTTCTTCCCTCCATCTCTTCAATCAATCTAACAGGCTTCTTGATAACTCGTTTAGGCATCTCAAGAATGGTGTCAGGTTGACTAGATGACCCCTGATTAGATTGCTCCACCTCATCCCCAGAGTTAGAATGAGTAGGAGTAATCTCAGGTTCAGGAGTACCCGGCACTGGAACATCAGCATCATCATCAATATATTGTACCCGAGGTAAATCAGCAATGGTAGACTGATGTACCTCAAGTACCCCATCTGTCTGTAATAAATTGTCTCCTTCCCTTCTCAAATCTGAAATCTCTGCATTTTTAATTGAATACATGGTGTTTTCATCGAAAGTAACATCCCTACTAAGAATGACCCGACCCTCCGAAGGTGAAAAAATTCTAAACCCCTTCACACCATCCCCGTACCCAACAAAACACCCCTTCTTGGCTCGTGGATCCAGCTTACCCTCAATAACATGATAATAAGCAACACAACCAAAAATCTTCAAATTCGAAAAATTAGGCAACTTACCACTCCAGATCTCAAACGGAATCTTGGAATCAATTCCAGAATGAGGACCCCTATTAATGACATAACAAGCTGTTAACACAGCTTCACTCCAGTACCTCCTCCCAAGCCCTGCATTGGAGAGCATGCATCGGACTCTCTCTAGCAGTGTCTGATTAACCCGTTCTGCTACACCGTTCTGCTGTGGTGTCTTCCTGACAGTATGATGCCGACCTATACCCTCATCTGCACAGAACTGATTAAACTCGTCTTTGCAAAACTCTAGCCCATTGTCCGTTCGTAGCTTCTTGATCTTCCTTCCTTGTCGATTTTCCACCAAAGCTTTCCATTGCTTGAAAACTTTGAAGGCCTCATCCTTTGACTTAAGCAACCTAAGCCATGTGTATCGGGACTTGTCATCAACAAATGACACAAAATAGTGGTAACCTCCCATACCTTCAACTCTAGATGGACCCCAGCAATCTGAATGGATGTAATCGAGCACTGCATCAGTAATGTGAGCACCCTTGCTGAACTTTGACCTGTGTTTCTTACCAAACACACAATGCTCACAAAATTCAAGGTTGGCAACCTTGACCCCGGATAGAAGACCCCTCTTGGACAATAGCTGCATCCCCTTCTCCCCCATATGACCAAGCCTCATGTGCCAAATCTTAGTCATCTCCTGGTGAGATACAGATGCGCAAACCGCAGAACTAGGCAGTGTAACACCCTCAAAAACATAGAGGGTGTTCCTTTTGATACCCTTAAGTACCAACTCAGAACCTCTGAAAATACACAACTCCCCATCTGAAAACACACCATTGTACCCCAATTCATCCAGGGTACCCAATGAAATCAGATTCTTTCCTAAAGCAGGAACATGCCGTACATTAGTCAAAGTTAACCTCCGCCCATCAACAGTCCTCAACCTCATGGAACCAATACCTGTGACCTTACATGGAGCATTGTTACCGACTATAACCATACCCCCATTGCGAGGTTCATATGTATCAAACCAATCTCGACGTGGACACATATGGAACGAACACCCCGAATCTAGAACCCAGTTATCAGATAAATCATCAGACCTAGCAGAACTGACTAATGCTAAATCTTCCTCTGAATTATAGCTCTCATTCGGTTTCTCTTCAACTACAGCAGCCTGGGACTTGTTTTTCCTCACCGGACAATTATTCCTAAAGTGACCCGGTTCTTTACAGTAATAACATGTTTTAGTAGTAGTTTTACTAGATCCATCCTTGCCGTTTCCAGCACCCGACCCAGCATTGTTCCCCTTGTTAAACCCCTTATTCTTTTTAGACTTTCCGGACTTAACAAATAACCCACTACCATTATCCCCATTATCACTCGTAGCTTTCATTCTGAGTTCCCTAGTATGAAGTGCTGCCTTCACTTCTTCTAAGGTTATAGAATCCTTACCAACAACAAAAGACTCTACAAAATTCTCAAAGCTAGACGGTAGAGATACAAGTAAAATCAACGCAGCATCCTCATCATCAATTTTAACATCTAAATTACGTAAATCAAGCAAAATAGAGTTAAGTTTTTCTAGATGTTCCCGTAAGGAAGTACCTGACTGCATCCGGAGGCTAAACAACCGCTGTTTCAGTAATAATTTGTTGGTCAACGACTTAGTCATATACAATGACTCCAGCTTCAGCCACAATCCAGCCGCCGTTTCCTGATCAGCAACCTCCGTGATGATTTGATCATCAAGACTAAGTAATATGGTAGAGTGTGCCTTCTCTTCCATAACTTCTAACTGCGAGTCAGTCGGTCCGTCTCCTGACTCCGAAGTAGTACTCTTTGGAGCCAACGGACGCCATATCTGCTGTTGTTTTAACAGAGCCTTCATCTTAATTTGCCATAGCCCGAAACTATTTTTCCCGGTAAACTTCTCAATTCTTATTGTTGAATCTCCTGCCATTGTTATCTTCAAGAAACTCTCCAAGGATTGAACCTGAGCTCTTGATACCAATTGTTGTGCGACAGCGGAAGCAAAGGTCGTAAACAAACAAGAAAACAATAAAGAAATTCAATGCAAACAATAAGAACAACACCAAGAATTTACGTGGTTCACTATCGATGTGATAGCTACGTCCACGGGCACCGAGATCGAATGATTTCACTATAAACTGCAAAGATTACAAAGATGATTCTTGTATTTTTCAAGAACGGCTCTCACTCTGTCTCTCTTCACCCTAATACTGATATTAGGGAGGTTTTATATTAATCCCTAATTAAAAGATACTTGGGCAAAAAGATAATAAAATAAGATAACCTAAAACCGCAAAATCCGCGTTCCGTATTTTTCCTTCTCCGCCCGGTCAGACCGGGCAAGGTCTGCCCGATCGGGCGCGAGAAGAAGACTCCATACGAATGCTTCAACGTATCCAACCCCCACCGCCCGGTCAGACCGGGCAAGGTCTGCCCGATCGGGCGAAGGCTCGCCCGGTCGGGCGAAGGCTCGCCCGGTCGGGCGCGAGAGCAGCTTCTTCAACGAATTTGCCAGGCACCTCTTCTTCTTCCGCCCGGTCAGACCGGACAATGTCCGCCCGATCGGGCGGACAAAGCTACGAAGTACGAGTCACCTAATATACTTATCAACAACCGGTAACACGTTTTGGGCTCTCTGGCTTGTTATGCAGGTAATATACTAATACGCACCTATTTTCTTATTACTTTTACATTATGTTGAGACGTTTAATTTCTTACATATTTGCAAATGCATGAATCAATCATTTATAAATTTATCATCTATAAATACTTTGTATACACTCGTTTTATATATTGATGGTATTTTGAAAATTGTTACAAATTAAAAGTCTAAATGTGACAAAAAATTAAGAGTGCGTGAGTATTTTACGTCATTATTTAATCGATTTCCGCAAATGGTCAAGTACTCAAGTTCATGATGATTTTTATTTGTAAAAACTCAATATCTACGTTACAGTCGTACATTTTAATGGAAAATCTATATCCGACAAAAAATGGTCATGTTCAGGCTTTTTCATGAGTGAAATTTCGATATCTATGTTATAGTTGTACATATAAACTTCTTTATTACATTATCATTCTTTGTCAGGTTATCATAAATCAAACGTGCATTTAAAAAATTGTTAGATTTTTGTCAAATCTTTACAGCATCGGATAAGATATACTCCACAATTCAAAGATATACATATGTACTCCACAATTCAAAGATTAACATTAGCTAAAGTAACTTCAATTGCAAGTAGTGTACCCCCAAAGTAGTTACAAAGGGTACAAAATCTAACCCACCACCAACAATGATTTATGTTCACTCTTTCATTGATATACATATCGTGTTACTCATGTTATAAATCGTACCTTGAATTTGATTGCGCATTATATACTGTTGTAAAATTACTTACTACTATTTATTTTCATGTGCATGATTTTGATGTTTAATAACTCACTCTTTTTTTTTCGGATGAAATATAATAAAATAGGCTCGAATCATGAAAGGGTACCCGTCAAAGCTTTTGCTCACAGCACTAAGTTGCTTCTTGAGTTCAATTCAGTCATTTGCAATAGCTATTCTTGTGGAACGTCGTCCTTCTCAATGGATGCTTGGTTGGAATGTCCGTCTTCTAGCCGTTGCTTATTGTGTATGTTACTATATACACTTCAATTCTCTCTTCTTTCTTTTCGCCTATATATTCTTTCTAACCATCAAGCCTTAAAAAAATAAATTACGAAAACAAATAGTGGGAGATTAGAACTGTATTTTTTAGCTCTAATTAATCTTACAATAAGTTATTGTAAATTCGGCTCATCCAAGATGCTGTCTTTCTTTAGTAGTAATCATAGATTTAATATCACATGTGACACGTGCACCACGTAATATTTATATTCGTTTTAATCTTAAACAACCCTCATAGCCTCATGCATACTTAAAATTATTATGTTGAAACAGGGAATAGTGGTGACAGGAGTGGCATACTATTTACAAGCATATGCGATAGAGAAGAAGGGGCCAGTATTTCTAGCACTGTGGACTCCTTTAGGGCTTATCCTTACCATGCTTTGTTCTGTTCTTCTGCTTGGAGAGATCATCACTTTGGGCAGGTTATTACCTAAATATCTCATTTATGCACTATATATTGGCTAATTAGCAAATGTCAACTTCTCTATATTTGACCTATCACCTTTAATGTGCTGTTCTTTTTTTTGGTGCACGTGTCAAGTTTCTTATATTTAAACGTGACAAATATTGCAAAGTCAAATTGACATCAATTATATATTGAACTTCTTGTTTAATGTACTTGTAGCTTGTACTATGTACGATTATGTAATGATCATTATAATTTTTTTTTCTTTTTTTTAGTAATTTTTAAAAGAAAAATACATCAAGAACAAGAGAGTCTTCTCTCACCATTGAACCCTACCTATCAAGAGAAAAAACAACAATGAAAATTATTATATATATCTAATTAAGTACTTTTTTTTTTTGAAATAATATCTAATTAAGTACTTATGATACTTAATAAAGATGATTTTCAATTATATGAACTATGTGAACCTCTCAATTTTTCAGAACTTATTAGACTTTAAAAGAACCTGTATAATTTAGTTCGTTGTAAATCAAATTTAGGTGACCCTTCATAGAAATATAAGCTTATATGATCATACATATTAATCCTTATTTAAACTTACATTTTCTAAAATAAGTGGAAATAAAGTAAAAAGAACGATGCCTAAATATGTTTTTGCATGTGTTTAATTTTCAGTGTCATAGGTGGAATTTTGCTAGTTGGAGGGCTCTACAGTTTCTTGTGGGCAAAGAGTAAAGAACAAATGATCATTCCATCAACTTGTTCAACCGTTGTTGAAGCAGATAAAGAAGGCCTGGAATTTAAAGTAATAGAAGGAACCAAGAATTCACCTTCCATTGTATAAGTATATATATATATATATATATCTACTTATAGATGATTTTGTAAGGCAAGAAGGTATTCCCAAATTTCCTTCGTTTTATTATACTACCTCCGTTTCTTTTTGTTATATCTTCCACACTTTTAATTTCCTTAAATTCGCCCCTTTTTGTTCTTAATATTGTTTCTTATTATTCCGTTTTTATGTGGTGTTAGATCACTCGAAATTGAGAGAGCATCAGATCCGATCCAGAGACTTGAAGGTGTCAAGGACTAAGGAGAATTTCATCATAAGCTCTCAAGTTTTGATGTTGACTGCTGATTTCTTACACTTACACCAAGTATATTTTGAGAAGAAATATGAAGTATATATATTGTATTAGGGTAGCATTAAATCTATGCATAGATGATGATGTAATTCTTTTACCTCATTCTATGCCTAATTAAAGTACATATTTTTTTTTGTCTCCCTAATAGAAAAAATGCGAAGTACTACGTATATACAAGCATACAACTTCAATCTACAATATGAGTGAATTTCATTTTATGGATGGTCTATATATACAACTTTAAAATGTAGTGTTCGATTCAGGGGATTGAAAGCATATAAAATCAATATCACATACTTGCATCGTATATAGTAAGTGACAACGGCCGTGTTAGTGCCCGTGCGTGATGCAAGGCTGAAAGGCCTATTTAATTTGAAGGGTTGTCATAACTCATAAGGTTCTCATTTTGTATCGACCACCCTGCCATGGTACGAGAAAAGCACGATTGGATTGCCGTTGTTTGGCATATCAAACTATGGTTTTTTTTTTTAAAACGGAGGAAGTATATAATTAGTTAGATAGATTTCAATTAATTAAGTTCAAATATGTTTAAATAATTTTAGACAAAATCAAGTTAACCAAACAGAACTTAAAATATCTAATCCTACTTTACACCATGAATTTAGAAATAAAATGTCTGTCAAAAAAAAAAAAAAATAAAAAGACTTGAAAGAGCCTCAAAGAGGGAAGAAGTACAGCAGTACAAGGTCTCGGGTCCAAAAATGATGGAAGTTAACTTACTGTATGATAGTGGGTCAGTAATAAGCCCAACAAGGCTAGAGGCCCACCATAACTTTTTTTTTTTTTTTCCGAGGAAAACTTCATAGGGTACATTTATACAAAAATTATGAGCTTATAAAACTAAAATATAGTACAAATTTTGATATTTGTAATGTATATTTTCATAATATTAATATTTTATAATTTAAACTAATATAAAATTAAATATATTATTGATCAAATATGTGTATCGATAAGCGTATTTACACAAATAATTGCAAGTGAAAAAAATGGATTATTTAAAAACTACTAGGTAACACATGCAGGAGAGAAAAAATAAAACCTTTATCAACCTTGTAATGCTGATTATACCTTCCAAATTCAATTATGGAACATTGCATCATTGATCTCAAGGAATACATTAAGGGGGTGTTTGGTATCAAATTAGTAAATGTAAGGGAATGGAAACAAATTAGAAGGGGAAAGGGTAATATATAGTGTTACCCTTACTAGTTGTTTGGTATTACTAAGGAAACGTAAATAATTGTAATCAATCCCTTTCCTCTTGTTTGGCATAGATAACTGGGAAACAAATAGTTTTCCTTCTAATTTTTGATGTCTTGGCTAACTTTTGATATACATTATACAATGTAGAGCAACACTAATTACCATAATATACATATATATATTTTTTGAACCGATTACCATAATATATCATATGCTAGATATATAGGCAAAGTCACATAAGTTGTTGACTACAAAAGCATTGAAATTCTAGTATTCTAAAAAAAAAAAAAAATAATAATAATAAAAAAAAGCATTTAAAAACCATTAAAACATTAACTCCAATAACAACAACTTAGGACAAAACTTTCTACTTCTTCTTAAGAAGATCAATTGCATATTGTTTCTTCATATTAGTTGGAGCTTGATAGAAGATGCTGAGCTTCATACGTCCAATACCTTTTATTTTTACCTCTACCTCGATTGCTTGCCTCACCCTTAGCTTGACTAGCCTCCATCTGAAAAATTAAAAACAAAAAATAAAAAACCAAAAATCAATTGAAGCTACTACTGACCTAATGCTGATTTTTTTAAAATAAAGACATCATTTAACAATCACCATTGAAAATGTTAACATACAAAAACATAACACCATAAAAAAGGTAGTGGTACAGATGCAATAAAGACTGAAAGGATAACAAGCAGACTAGTAGAGGTTATGAGATGTCAAGACTTAAGAGTAAAATTATCGAGATTATGAGATTAATGAGTTTTTTTTTCAACAATAGATTTAAAAGGTACATAAATTTAATTAGCACCCAAAGATCCATCAATTGTGTCAAAAGAGGCTGGAGTGCCTAAGATGCATCAGTATTAAAGTGCCTTAGCAAAATTTCCTAGCCTATAACCATGAAGGCAATGAAGCACACTAGTACAAATCAATGAAAACTAGAAAATATAATGTCCAAGACAAAATCCTAATAGTAAATCTAGACCAATGAAGCCTTATGTTTCAATACAAGATCAATGTACACCAAACTTTACAATCAAAACAACATAATAGGATTAACTAATCTTGAATTGAGAATGATGGGATTACAACAATACATAAAAACACACTAATAAAACATTCTTTTAAATGGTATCTTTGACCTCTATATGGAGCAAGAAAACCCTCACAATTCGTATACCCCGCATCAGCCAAATAATAATTACCTTCAAAGTTATTGAAAAAAAATAATTACTTCCAACCAAAACTAATAAAACATATACACTCACAAAAAAGGCCTTCACTTACCTCAAGGTACTCTAAAACCGTTTGGTCTAGAAAGAGCATTTCGAAGTACACGCATATCATGGGCCGAGTCTTCCCAACCAGGAAGAACATAAATAAATTGCATATTAGGTGCACAAACACCCAATACATTCATAGCAATCGTTCCTTTTCTTGTTCTATACTTTGGTCGTTCTTTTGAAGGCACATTTACATTAATGTAAGTCTCATCTAATGCCCCTAAACAATTCTACAAAAATAGGAAAAAATATTACTTACAAACAAGCAAAAATAAGAAAATCCTAGCAAAATTTAGGGGCTTTGAAAATATCAATACCTTGAAGGATTTCCACCTTTCATCTTCACAATCATCCAATATTTGTGTGGGATTGTAAAGTAGTACTTCATGCAACTTGAGAAAAGCCCTTAGACAAAGGTGAAATTGCCGGCTCACGGTTTCTCCACTTCTATAGAAGTAATGTCCAATAGACCTATTCTTCTTATGATGAGCCAACGTGTATAAAAACATGGCTACTATCTCTTGAAGCGACATGTTTTTTGTTCCACTCAAACCCCCAATGTCTCTAAGCATCTCACAAATAATATTGAAAGTTTTTCTATTAACGCGAAGCTCACTCTTGCATTTCACATCACTCTCCTATAAAGCACTCTCAATACTAACATCCGTAACAATTTTTTGTTTCTTTTCCTATCTTTTATTTGAACCCCCCTTATTGTAACAACGCTAATTATATACCATATCCAATACATCATCAACATAATAATAACCATTGCAATTACTATTTGTATTTGTTTTAGCTTTTCTTCCTTATAGAATGCATAAGTCGAGGCATTGTACAAGAAACACAGAAAATAAATGGCAATTGAACCTGATAAATGGCAAAACAATAGTTATATCAATCTCTAGTTAATCAAATAACAAATATTGTCAACCAAATCATGAGGAGTAAACTACTCAAGAAACAAGCAAAATTAAGCAAAAAACCATGGTCTATATACTCAAAATAGTAGCAGTAACTTTCTCACTGTAATGCATACACATATGGAGCAAAATAAGACATGTATAGCACCAGAAAACCATGGTCTATATACTCAAAATAGTAGCAGCAACTTTCTCATCGTAATGCATACATATGGAGCAAAATAAGACATGTTCAGCACCACCAATAATCTATTACATTCATAACATAGATATAATTACCAAATGAAGAAATTATACAAAACTCCAATGTTTGTTAAATAATTTCAAATGAATTGAAGCTTAAAACAATAACATTCGTAGCTGAAACATGAAGTAATTATAATAATACAATCAAAAATCAAACAAAAACAACTTTCTAAGATTGCAATTGAACACGCAAGTTATAAATTCATACCAAAAAACGCAAAAATTGATACTACATGAACCCTAGAAATTGAACGAAAACAACTTTCTGAAGTTGCAATTGAACACGCAAGTAATAAATTCATACCAAAAACGCAAAAATTGATACTACATGAACCCTAGAAATTGAATGAGAGAAATGAAGATAGCAAACCTGTGATAATTTCTGAAGATTTGCAGAAGAAAATCGAAAATTTAGGAGTAAGATCTGGAGAATTGCATCTTCCTCGTAGAATCGTCGAAATTTTTTGGGAATTTTCAAAGAATTATCAAGCAAGTGAAGAGGAGAGACAAGAATTTTCTTTATTTTTTGTGTTAGAGGAAGGAAAGGGGATTTGTTTCCTCACCTATTACAGGGGAAACAATTGGGTGGATTGGGTTACCCCTAACTAACGATTTGTGTTACTTTAGTCCGTAACCAAACACAATGTAACAGAAACGCTAATATGATTCCGTTTCCATCCCTATAAAATCCCTATATCAAACACTCCCTAAGAAGACAATAATGCATGTTTTGTAAGGGATTAGACGCTAATCTTGCGAATACATTATGTAGTACTCCGTAAAAGATTAACACAATATAAATAAATAAGACCAATTTTAATGAACAATCAAACATATCAAAATGTTTACAAAGAAATAATAACAAATTCATGAAACTCAATTTCCCCTAAAAATAACAACACAAAAAGAAAAAAAGAAAAAAAAAATCATAAAACACTCTCCATTGTCCCCATACATTCACATATTCATTTAAACAAAATCCCAAATAAACTAATGTAAATTTTGAATTAACAATTTTTCCTACCCAATCACAGACTTATTGTCATTATAATTTTTTTTTTTTCCTTTTGTATATTTTTTTTTTTCTTTTAACAGCAAATCAACATTTAATTTTTTCTTCATTTAGCCTCTCATTTCTTCTCAGCCGTGGCTGCAGCTGGAGCTGGAACTGCGGCAGCAGCTGGAGCCGGAGCCGTGGCTGGAGCTGGAGTCACAACTACTGGCTTAGCCTCTTCTTTCTTAGGCTCAGAGGCTGCTGGCTTAGCCTCTTCTTTCTTCGGCTCGTCAGCCGGCTTTGGAGCTTCTTCTTTCTTAGTCTCAACAGCCACTTCTTTGGTGGCTACTTCCTCAACCTTTGGTGGCTCTGAGGCCTTCTCCTCAACTGCCTTTACGACGCTCTCAGCTTCAGCCTTCTTTCCATCATCCTTTAAACATTTAGAGTTTATGAGAAATTGTCCTTATGACAAATAAACTAATAATGTAACACAATCATAAACAAATAAATGAATAATGTCATGTTGTCATGCACGCATGTTCGTCCAACAACTTCGTCCAAATACATTCAATACTTCATGTAGGAAAATTCTTATGATGATCAAAAAAGTCAAACGGTTATTTCCCTTTCATTCTATATCATAGAGCGGCAATAATAATGTATACCTACCTACCATATGGAATTATATATTATAAATGGACAGTAATATAGACGGAAAATGACTGGTATTGTATATATTGTACAAGCATGAATGCACTTGTACTTAGGGACGATAAAGTTATTAAAAGTGACAAATGTGCAAAGGCGGAATTAAAATGAGAAACAACAAGGGAGTGGAAGAAACACTTTAAGAAGACAAACTAATGTTGCAAGGAATACAAAGACATAAAGGTTAGAGCAAATAAACAGGAGGAGGCAAATCATACATATTTGGGTGTTTTTTCCTTAAGCAATCAACATGACCACATAAAGAAAAGATGGACTGAGTATTTGGGTCCCAAAAACAGCTGTGAAAGAAAGGACAACACTCAAAATTGACAATTATAATGTTTTTAACAAGTAATTAATGGGATTTAAGGACAAGATTCCTCGTTTTGAACCCTTTAAGCATGTACTCTTTTTAAGAAAAAGATACCCAAGAAAATGTTGCGGTCTTAGCTTGCGCAATTGTAGTTTTAAACGACATTGGATTAGGCATGTATGATTACGACAAACTCCCAAATTACGTGTCACTAAATAAGAGATAATTCTCTCAAAAAAAAAAATTATGACACGTAATATATATGCTTGAAAGCTGAAAGATGAAGATGTTTGATCGACAAAATCATAGAGGTTGAAAATTTTAATATCTTACTAAATGGTACTATAATTTCTACCCTAGCTTACAAAGTTTTACTTTCTAGCTTTTACTTGAAAAAATAAATAGTGGATTTGGTTGTATAAGTTTTTATTCTATAGCCATCAAATTTTTACACTTTTTTGTTGCAGGTGTATGATACGTTTAACTTTTTTCACTATTAAAAAAAATTTAACATAGAAAAATATTGTTAAATAGATACTGATATAAAATTTTATTCATAATATCAACTTTTTAATTTATATCTATTTAAGATCAAATTAGTGCATTGATATATGTGTCAAGTTTAACCGTGTCAATAATTAAGGAACAAAAGGAGTAGTTCATGACATATACTAATTTTGATGGTGATAAATAATTATTGATTATAAAATTTTATCATTTATTTGTTCATACTCTATGATATCATTATCAATTTATCGTCTATCAATGTCAACAATTACGTTTTCTAATTGAAAAACTAACAAAACATGTCAAAATTATGTCATCTGAAAATGAACTAAACTAGAAGACTTGTCAAATGTGTAATTTAAAGATATTGGTTACGTAATTTTCAAGTTTGGATTCCGTCAAATGTGACCTTTGAGAAATTAGGCTTTCTAATTTTAGATTTTTTTTTAATATATATTAGTTTTGATAAAATACAAAAATATATGGAGTGGTAAAATAGATATTTTGGTAGAATTATTTTTTAAAGAGTCTAAAATAAAAATTTTACTACAGGCATTGCAAATATGACAATAATGGAATTTTGTTTTTAGAGTACGTTTTATTATAAATAATGATCCTACCAACACATTTACTTTTTCCAAAAAAAATCAAAATAAAAGATACTACTCCTTTTCTGATTTTTTTTCTTCATTTGGAATTTTTTTATATATAGAAAAATGGTTTAAGGAAGAACTATACAATAGAGAGGAATTAAGTAAAACCAATTATCTGGCAAATTTACCAAGGACTATAATTTTTGAAAAAATTGGGGTTAAAAAAAAAGAATAAAACTAAAGGCCAGGCACAACCGCACAAACACTTGATTACCTAAAAAAGAGTCCAAATCTGTTTATCAACAGTTAAAAATATTTTATATCACTGTATAATTTTTATATTATAATAGGAAAATTAAAATATTATTGCAAATTTGCAACTATTACTTGAGTACATTATACACAATTATTTTTTATTTATTTTTTTTTTTTGAATGGAAACGACAAGAATATTTGGACAAAGGCAATATTTTTTATACTCTTTCACTGGAATTTTTTAAGATGTATTTTCCAAATATTAACATCAATGAAAATTTTAAATACGAAGTAGGAGTATATTCTACGAAGTTATATTTATATTCCATATGACATACTACTTGGATTGCCAGGATTGGGGAACACATAAAAAAAGCCCTAAATAGTAAACTCATGTTATATGTAGTACCTTAAAAATAAATCACACATAAATACGGAGTATGTAATATAATAGTAAATCACGTCTCGTCTAATAGCTTTAAATATTTTCTTATAATTTATAAATATACCAAATTCCTTTAAATATGTACTCAAATTAAACCAAAAATATGCTGAAAATAAACTGTATGCATGCATGTTAAATACTATGAGTATCTCCGGTTTAAATTACTCGCAACTTTGGATATTATTTTGAGACATAAAATATTTCAAAGTTGCGAGTAATTTGGACCGGAGGTAGTTCATTCTCCACCCATTCTAATATATTTGAATGATAATGATCGCATTTAAAAAAAAAAAGGCAAAAGAAGAAGGACTTTTAGAGATGGAGAGTCGGAAAATATAAAACATGGTTGGTTACCTCTAAATGAATGAGAAAAAGAAGAATATAGTACATAAATATATGATTAATGACCTCTAACATTATTTGAGCGAGAGATGAAACCTTGTTTTGATCAACTTGAATATCTCTATCCTCCACCGTTGTTGTTGTTGTTTCCTTTGTTTCCGGTACTTCAACCGGGGCTTCTCCTTCTGTTGTCAACGGCTTGTTTGCGCAGTTTCCCATTTTCTTTCTGAATTTACTTTTTTACCCCTTTCTCTTCCCTTCAAAAGCTTCCACTAAAACTCTTGTTAGGAGGAGAAATTAAAGGGCTTTTTGGGAAAACTCAAAATATTTAGGGGAGAGAGAAAATACAACAACTCAAATGAAAAACTTTTTAAGAGTTTTTATTTATAGAAAATTTTTGAGTTTTTATTTGCAGCTCCGACAATCATTCTGCGGCGTTGAATAAGGTTATAAATATATAGACAACTGCCAGCTAAGCCTCCCTTTTTTTAAAATTAAAATAAAAAAAAAATTACAATTTTTTTTAAAATTCTTTTTTAATTTTTTTGGAATGTTATATTGGACAGGGTGTAATACTAATAGCCAATTGGACACAGGCTGTAGAATTTTTTTGGTTTTGTGATCTTTTGTTTACTAAAAATGTCATTATTATGCATAGCAAATTTTACAAGTTTTGATTGTGTTTATACATTGTTGCTGGCATTTTATTACGAGTATTGATTTTGGTTATGAATTATAAGATTATGGTTATATTGTTATGGAAATAATCTAGAAATGACTTTAATAAAAAAGTTGTTTTGATTTTTCAAATAAAAATAAATAAATAAATGTAAAAGTTGTTTGAATTCTAGACTAGAGAGCATGTATGGGATAAAACGCTTGATATGTTTTGGATCATCTAGGTCGACTAAGTGTAGATATATGATGTTTAAAGTCTAGGTTGCATGAGAATATTTTGCATAGCTATATTTTGTATCTGGTAGTATTAGACACGCGTGACGTATGTCACATATCATACATAGACAATTTCAACACTCATTGAACATAATAACGATATCAATACAGCTTAGCCACGTTACATGTTTATCACTAATTACGACTTGATTCTCCTTGACATAAACTATTAACAATAAATCTTATGCTTCTTGTAAAAAGTACAATATTGCAAAAAAAATTTATTAAAAGAGGTTTCATGGCTTTTCATTTCCCAGATAATCTTATTTTAAATAAATTGATTATAAGAAAATTTATTTGTTGATTTTTTGTGGGGAAGTTGATATTCACCGGCTTATCTTGGGTGCTTCTAATGTTAGCCAAGTTTACACGTGCAATGAGAAGGTGTCATCCTTGATTGACAAAAGCTCCTGCAATTTGTCCTTGATTGACTATAACTCTTTTCAATTTTATATTTTTCTTGATTGTTCATCATAAATCCAAATCCTCATTTATTATTGATTGATATCAACTCTTTAATTTATTTATTTTTCTATTTCATTTTCACCTATTCATTTTGAGGTTGGTAATATGAGCCTAAATACCCTTAGAGCGGTTGTAGTGACTAATTACATGATTTGCTTGATTAAAATTGTGTGACTAATCGATCACAAGTGTATTAGGGAAGTATTTATTGAGAGAGAGATGATGAAAAAAAGGACCTATATATTATTTTTATTTATGACTTGTGTTATTATTGTAACTCGGACTTTAGATGACTTCATCGTATTGTTGAAATAATAACCTAATAATTAGAGTTTTTATCCTATATTCGTAACAATCTAACTAGAAAAATCCAATGTTAAATACTTAATAATATCTTTAAATTGTAAAACCTCACCTAAGTAGGCATTAAAATATAATTTTTCAAAAACACCTCTTAAAAATGTTGATTTGTGTAGGTGACTATCGCGAACTGTCCAACTCATAATTACCCCGTTGTCGCAATTGAAATGCCAAATATGATTCCCATTGTTTGCTCCAAAACAAAACTAATCTTCAACATCAATTTCCTGTAGTAATAGAGTGTTTTCCTATTCCTTTATATTATGTTCAAGAACTTATGTTACAAAACAAAACTATGTGCTCCATTCCAAAGAAATCACAACTTCCATGATCTAGTAATTGGCTAACAATTCCAATTAGGTGTAATTAGAATATAAATAGTAGAAGCACCAACATAATACATTTTATATTCTTCCATATGATATTGTGACATGTATTTAATCCAAGAACTCATGATGTTATTGGGTAGCCAATTATATTCATGTTCATTTTTACAAAATATATTAATTCCAATTAATCTGGCCCCACTAATTCCCAAAATAAAAAGTTTGGTAATTTAGGTGATGCATCACCATTTCTTTCTCATCGTGGGGGCAAGTACTTTGAGTTATGTACTCCCTCTATTATTTTCTGAATAATAAAAAAGAATTATTTTATTTTTGTTTTACAATTTTTTAAATTATTTGTTCGTAATTATTAAAATTGTGTATGATTTTTGACATGATAGAGTTGTGGAGGGTGCCAAACTAATAAAGTACTAATTCGTATTAATTTGTTTGGATATTCTTTATTCTTATGAGCTACTGTAACACTTGGCAATATTATAAATTCAATGGATTTGATTTCTTTTCAATATTTGGTATTTGTAAGAATCTATTACGAAGTATAAACTAATAAGGATAATGATATACTAGTATTAAATTTGTAATATCTGTACCTGTTGTAAGTCCTTGTAACAGATTATCAGCTAGTTAGAAATGGACAAGATGAATGTGATAGGATTTTTTTTTATTTTTATTTTTATTATATGGCCTACTATGCAAAATTGTTCTGTATTTTATTAGGAGTGGTACGTTGGTTAGTTTCTTGTTTCTGATGTTAATTGGACATGGAATCAAACCTTATCATCAACTACCGAGTGTAGAGTATTATGGATTATTGTAGGTTTGTACAAAGTATAAATTAGGGTGGCTAAGTGGCTAACATCGCGCACCATAGCTAGCAATATTCGAAAAGCAATTTTAATTTGACTTTATATCACAACTTTAGTTGTTAGTAGTATTAATGATAAAAATTAAATATGTAAGCAAATATTTTTAGAGATATAAATGTCCTCGCACTATTCTTAATAGTTTTAAGAAAATGAGTATTAATATTAATGGGGCAATTACGTAAATAAATATTTTAGAGAATAGAATTGTGCAAACATTATTCATAAAATTTATTCGTGTCTTATACTTTTTAAAAGTTAGGGATTAGGGATAGAGATAGAGATAGGGATGTAGTATTTTGGATTTTTGGTTGTTTGGAAGTTGATAAAAATGAAAATTGGTGAATGGTAATTTCTTTTATTACATTAGTTTAATTTTCACTACCTTATTCGGTACGTGGAAAGAGTGTGAGGCTACATATAAATGAGTAATGATACCATTTATATTTAGTATCTAAAAACTCAAATTGAGAAAGACATATATCCCCATTCTATTACACTTCCTTATCTTCCTTTCTAACCCAATGTATCACATGTCTTCTTACATTTTTTTTAACACTACAACTTTTTCATTAAACTTATATTTTTATCTCCCATGCACACTTCATCTTATCTTCTCTTTTCAATTCAACCTTTTCCTTTTCTCTCTTTAATTTAAGTCCATTCAACTTATTTTTTTATAGCCTTATTTTGAATTAAAGTCCTAAAAATTTAATTTCTATAATCAAGTTTTTTATTACACATGTCATCCATATTAATTTGTTAATATTTTCTCACTATCTCTCAATATAATTTTCTGTGAACAACTTGTGAATGGTACGAGCTAAAAGACTAATTTTATACTTTGATCCCACGTTAGATTTTGGAAAAACTCCTCAATCTAGAGTGTGTATCATTGATCAATATATATATCGTTACAAAACTAAACTTAATTACACTAGGAAACCTATCAAGATATAGGCATACAAATTATACAAAATATATGACAAATGTGTCTCATTCCATAATATCTATCAATAACATGTCATGATATGATCACATAGGACTCAAATTATACTTCTATAGTTGTTTGTGACACGACCCGTAATGACTCATAAGCTACAACCTGTAATCCTATAACTAGAGTTGTCAAAAGTTGACCCGACTCGAAATACCGACTCAAACCCGATTATTATTAACCGACTCATTTGAACCTAAAAAAATGGTGACCCAAACCCGACCTAAAACCAACCCTAGACCCGAGTTGACCCGAGTATGTGAGACCCAAACCCGAACATGTACTGACCTGGAGCTGACCTGAACCAAACCCGACTTGAACCGAAATTGACCTAAAACCGTTTTAACCGTCAAAACCCGAATTTAACCCAACTTGTTACTAGCCTGACCTGAATTCATCAACCCGATCTGTTCCTAACCCAACACAAATTTAACCCAACCTGTTACAAACCCGACCCAAAATCAAGCGGACTTGTATTGACCTGACCCAAATTTAACCCGACTTGTTATTGACTCGACCCGAATTTTACCAGACCTATTACTAACCCAACCCAAAAATTCAACCTGATCTGTTACTAACCCAACTCGAAATCAACATGACTTGTTATTGACCCGACCTAAATTCAACCCAAATTGATCCAGACCCGATTTGAAATCACCTTAAATGTCATTTAGACCACCTTATTATTGTTGATCAAAACATTTTGTCTAGGGAGACCAAGTCGGTCCAGGCCAGCAAAAGAAAATAGCATCATCCTCAAACCTACCACGAACATTTATAACAACAAATAATGATCATATATGGTTCCAAACAACATTATATGACCCCGAGATAAATCCCCTATAATTTCAAGATATTTCGACACTAGGCCCCGAAACCTCCAAAATTTCTCAAAAACCGTGGATATTAGCCTTCAATTTTGGAATTTTTTTACATTTTTCGCCCGAGCATAAAAGTTGCCGAAATATTTACCATGGTCCCAAATACCATCCGAGAGTCCAATTGGGTGGATTGAACCATCCAATTTTCCTTTAAACGACCAATATATATACCGGTTTACAACTTACACCGATTTCATTAATTCAACCCTACCACGAACATTTATGACAACAAATAATGATCATATATGGTTCCAAACAACATTATATAATCTCTAAATGTACAATTTCAAGACTTTTCGACACCAGACCCCGAAGACTCCAAAAATTCTCAATAAGCGTGGATATAGCCTTCAATTTTTGAATTTTTTGATTTTTTTTTCCCGAAAATAAAAATGCCAAAATGTTTACCATGGTCTCTAATACCCCTCGGGAGTCCAATTGGATTGGTGGAACCATCCAATTTGCCTTTAAACGGCTAATTTACCGGTTTACAACTTGCGTCGATTTCATTAACTCAAGCCTACCACAAACATTTATGACAACATATAATGACCATATATGGTTCCAAACATCATTAT